GTACAAATTGTCTGTTCCAAAATTTTATCATAACTTCTCTGCGCAGGCTTGCTGATTTTTCAGTGTGCACTTTTCAGCTCAAAAATTTCTGCGAAATCAAGGTTATTGATTGGAATCAATCAATGTTATGATCCTGAAATATAAAGTTTGAATGCTATCCATGGGCTTCTTAAGAACTGAATTAAGTTTCAAGAAACTGAGAGTTACACACATAGACACTCATTTCAGTTAGTTTTCTAATGAGCTCATTTTTTTGCGTGTGGGGGTTAGTAAAAGAAAATGTGGTGAATACAATCTTGCATGATTCAGTCTTGAAAAATTGCGAGATGACAATTGGTCTTTTTTTTCTGTGGTGGATTGTACTAATTTAAGGTTCCACCAGGAAACACAGGGGCAGTTTCACAGGGCAGCAGTGACTTTGCAGCATTTTCTTGCCTTACCTTCCTGAGCAGCCACCTCTTGACTTCTCTGGGCAGTTCCATGCAGCACTTCTCCTTTTGTGTGCTGCATGTGCAGATGCATTTGCAAGAAGTGTGGAAGTGGAGCAACCATCAGAAGCCAAGGACCATGCCTGTGTGCCTCTGTTATCTGTTTGTTTAGGTGTTTTAGGCATAGAAGTGGAAGCAGGAAAATTTCCAGCAGAATAGTTCTATGAATCTTACAGCTGAAGAGTTAAATCAACAAAAAATGGAGGGAAGCAATTTGAAATTCAATAACTTTAATGATTTTTCCAGCCAATTCTGACAGTTCCATATGTATATCAAAAATTGCAGTGTTACTGAGTTATGCTATTGAGCATTTATTTATCCACCCATTTTTTCAGATTTTGCTGCTATTTGAGATTTTAAAATGAGTTACTTGATGAAACTAACTTCACTTGCTGCTGTTGCATCAGAACTTCCTTTCTTCATTTGTTTTATTTCTTCCCAATTCATCCAGTTGGTCCTGCCTGGTTAAAATGAAGTGAGTGCTATTCTATTTCTTGTTTGTGCACGGAGTCACTTGTTAAGTTTGCAAGCTTTGCAACAGTTGAAGACCTCTGAAATCTCTTGATGCTCTCATGCCCATCAGTGAGGGCATGATTTATACACTTAAAATTGCCAGAATTAAGATGATTTAAGCCATGAAGTTTCCTATTAATAACTTAGATGCAACTTAAGAAAAGAAAACAAAAAGTTGATTATGATGCAACTTAAGAAAAGAAAACAAAAAGGAAGAAAAGGGCTTCATGTGAGAGAAATGTGGGTCCAGCTGAGTGGGTCTGGTGCCCAGAAAGAGCGTTTGTCTGAGCCTGACCCTTTGAACACTGTGTGTTTTCCTGCTGCTAGGTGAGAGCTGTGGGCAAACTGAAATACACTGAGGCAAAGTTATTTCACAAAAGCTTGGGCTGAAGTTCACAAGGAGAGAAAAAGCAAGGAAGCTGTTCCAATACTGTGTGTTTTTAGATCTTCAGTACATGTGAGTAGTAGCTGTTCACATAAATCTTGCTCAATCTCCTCTGATACAGATACTATTGCAAGACCTGCATCTCCACTTAAGATGACAGACATAAAGTTGGATTGTGTTGAGCAGATGAGGAAATTTGCTTTTGTAATGCAGGATTCAGGCCACAGGAGTGGGAAGAAGAGAAGATCATCTTTAGGATGGTGTGAAGCAAAGGATGAATATGTGTACTGGGGGTGGAGAGGGTTCCTGGCACACCTCTGCCCAGAGCGTGTCATCTGCTCTGACAGAAAACCAGGGCTTGTTTTTTGTCTGTTGCAGGGACAGATGTATTAAAAAACACAGCCTGGTGCTCTTGCTGCCTGGCCTGGCCTCAAGCTAAGCAGCACAGGTATTGCTCAGCTGGTTTTGGGATTTGCTTGTGGGTTTGTTTTTTGCTGTTGTTCTTTCCCCCCGCCCACTTTCCAGTGGAGACACTAATTTGGTTTTCTCAACTTAGCTGTCTCTTCCTCCCCTGCACTCCCTGATCATTCAAGAGCTTCATAACAGGAGCTGTTAATTGGATGGGGGCATCAGAATTTCTTTGAGGGAGGAGAGTTACACTGACGCTCTGAATCCGGGCAAACATTGAGAGGGAGAATGTGGCTTACAGCCCAGCTGGAGTCAACACAAGACTGGGAAATGTCAGCAAAAGAAATTCCCATTCTCTGTTCAGTTCTGAAAAAGAGAATTTTGCTGACAAACATTATAAATAAAGTATGCAGGTTTTTGCCTCCTGCTGTCATCTGTGTTGTTGGGACTTGAAGATTGATGAGCTTTTTAGTTTGCATAGACAAAGTACTGGAATGGGACTTGAACTTCAAATTCTGTTCCTAGATTTGTTCATAGCTTGTCTGTGATCCCATGAACTTGCTTTATCTCTCTGGGCCTAATCAACCCTGATGTTCACTTTTTGAAAGAGCTTGAAGGTTGACTAATGAAAGTCAAGTTGTAGATGGCATGTACGATTATTTCTGTTCTGTTCTTTCCCTGTATTTTCTTCCTACTCCTCTGCTCTAAAACCTTCATTAGAGAAAGGGTTTTCTGAGCTGTCTAGACATCTTCCTTCTCTGCCAAGGAGCTCTTGTGACAGTATGTGTCAGATAATAATGAGTAAGTCTTGCATGGAGAGGTGCTATTCACATATAATGAAGATATTGGAACCAGGAAAATTGATTTTCCCCAAAACAACTTGCAGAAATCTTCTCTGTAAACACCTGCCTCTACCTGCTTGATCTCACAATTAATTTATTTTTATTTCAGTCCTTAATTTCTGCATTTAAGTCCTGCAATTCATGCACAGCGATAGAGTTAATTTAAATTCTATCATTCTGCATAACAATGAATTGTAGCATCCATCACTTTCTTTTCCTGCTAGTAATACATAGTCATCTCAAAATAAAACCAGTTAGTATATCTAATCTTATAGACATTTACCAACTTTTTGGCATCACTGGCATGCAGTGAGAACAGAGCTAGAAAAAGCATGAGCTCTAGCTATTAGGAAGGAAAGCAACTGCTGTAAACATTCTTCTTTTTGTTTTCCCATTGCTGTTATTTGAGCTGTTAGGTCGGTCAGTTTTGCCTGTTTTGGTGTTGTAATGCAGTGTTATTCAGGTGAAAGCAATGCAGACCTTGCACCAGTGCTGTGGTGCTGTGTGTCTGATGGTGTGGGAGCTACCAGGGCCTGGTGCCCTTTCAGGCTCCCTGGTTTGTGAAGTGCTGTGTAATCTAGGCAGTGCTCTGCAGTCAGCTGCAGGAGAGCTGAGCAGAGACAAGAATTTAATAAATTAACCATAGCACATACCATTTTCTCACTGAAGTGTCAGGAAGAAATAATTAATGTTGTATAGAGTTTTCCTTCTGGCATTTCCTAATGTTTGAGTATTTGCAGCCTCAGCATTCTTTTTGACAATTTTCCAGAGCAGTATCTATTAGCCCAGATGCTGCACTTGGAATGTCAGAAGCTGTGGATAGAACAGAAAATTTAAGCTAAGATTTGTTCAGATGAATTTGCCAGCGACAGGGGCCTAGGACCAACCCTTTCTTTGCTGGAGGACAGTATGGTTATTGCAAATGTATTTGATATATATTGCAACTGACTCCTGAGCATTGGAAGAAATTTCTGGAATCCAACCCAGATTAGCTACTGTGTAAGGAAGGATTTTTTTTTCCAGGGAAGTGTTCTTGTTCTTGTCAACAGTAGTTGATATAGGTGCCTTGAATGCTACTGAAGAACTTGGAGGAGTTGAATAAAACCTGAAAAGAGCTTTCAAAAGATGCCTGATGTCCTTTCTGCCAGCTGGTAAGTGACACCAGTGGATTATGCAAGTGGAGTTGTGAGGATGAGTTGAGTTTTTTTAGACAGCAAATCTTGAGACAGAGTGACAGCCTGCAGGGACATTTCTGCTGTGAGAGGAGCAACAGCCTCAGAGAAAGCACAGGCAAGACAGCAGGGGTGGAAACAGCAATTAAGGTCAGTAATTGCCTTCTTGTGTTCTTTCTGCAGGGCTATTATATTTTTGGGCAAACAGCACACGTGGAGTTCTTTGTCTTCTGCAGCCTTTTGCAGGAGTTTAGATTCACCTTGTCTGATGGAATTAAAGGTATTCCTTTGGGGAGCACTGCACAGCCCCATCCCTATAAGGTCTGCTGTTCTTCATAAGGCAGCTTGGTTCCAGCATCCCAAAGACCCTATTCCACTAGCTGTGCTCTAGAAATCTTCTAAGAACTGCTCCTTTTTGTAGGGATTTTTTTTTTTTTTTTTTGTGTTGAGGAGGTCCTTGCACGTGCTGCTTCAGGTGCTGTGAATTAAAAATAAAGAATTACAGGCCCTGGGATTAATACAGCTGAGCAGGGCTTCTGCTACTTAGATAAGGCAGAAACAAATTCATAAATCCTCACAGGGGGCAAGAACTCAGCCCCAAAATGGAGTTTAATGAGAGGTCTGTTACACTTTTTGCCAATAGCACTAGTTATGTTTGATTCTTCACTGTGCTTTTTGCAGTTCATCTGTATTGTTTACTGTGAAAACTCAAATTACAACACTTCATTGCTCTTGGTTCCCAAGTCAGCAACTCCACCCACTGTTGTACAAGGCTACTAGTTGCTTCCTTTTACCTCTGCCCCAAGAAGGCTACCTATGAGTATTCCTGCCCTCATCTGACAGCTGCAGCTTTGTACCTGAGTTCTTGGTGTGCATGTAGTCAGTATTTTGAGTGACACGTTCCTCAAACTGATTGCTCAAAGGGACATTTCTGGCTGAGGTTCCCACCTTCTCTGACCTAGCCTCTGCTGGATCTTAAAATAATGGCATCTATTAGCATATTGCAGCATAGTAATGTATTAAATAACACTCAAGAATGGAAATAATTCTCATTTTCTTGGATCAGAAAGAGTGGTAGGAAAGAAGGGAGGTGAAAATTCAGAAATCTTCAATGTGCCAGTGAAGATTTCAGAAGAACAATTTAAACAGACAGATTTGTAGCAATTTTATAATAGGAGTTTGGAAGTGTGAAATGATGATAAGTGTAATTCTCATATGCCTGGTTTTGTTTCTTCTGAGTGCACAGTTCCTGCATTTGCAATGGAAGAGCCGTGGATTTCCTCCTGGACCAACACCATTTCCCATCATTGGAAGTGTCTGGTGGATAAATTTTAGAGCTGATCACGGGAGCCTGAAAAAGGTATGTAGTTGCAGATGTGAACTAAAGAGCTATTGAGGCAAAACCTGGAAAAAATGGTGATGGTTGTTGATAGGCTGATGTGGTAACAGAGAGAACCCTGCACAGGGTGATTTGTGGCAGTGAAGTGCCTAAACAAGTAAAGGTAAAAACCCTGCAAACAGTCTAATTAATATGAAAACCTAATAATTTCACATGAAAGTCTCCTTCATATATGTGTGCAGCTTAAACAGAACTGAACATAGTAATTTTGCCTCAGAAAAAACTTCTGTTGTTAAGAGAATCTTTGGCCTTGGAAGAAAAAAGTGATTCTCAAATTTCCTATCATAGGCATATATTGAAAATAATTTTAAACTAGGTGTCTTGAATTCAGAGGGTGTGAAAAGTGCACCAGAATATCTTCTGCTGTCATGGGATGAAAACAAGATTGTATCACATATGTAGCCAAATCCTTTCATCCATTGTTTCTCTGAAGTCCAGTCTGGGATGTGCTCTTTGCAGATAAACTAAAGACATAAATGATGGTGAAAGGAAATAATCAATGGGAAGAATTAGGTCCATGCTAAGCCTGTTAATATAGATTCTTTCAGTTTTCAACATCCTCCAAATGAGCAAAAACATCACAAGAAAACCCAGTGTGTTAATATATTTTTCAAATTGCTGCCTTTCCTTATTGCAGGTCAGAGGGTACCTGGCTGCAGCTGAAGGGAGCTTAAAAGAGCATGATGCTAAAGTTTTCTGATGGGTACATGTTAATGACTGTGAGAGGACAGATCTGTACTGGTTCTTGGTCTAGCAACAGGGACTTTGTCCTTGCAGAATACCCACAGCATTGCCTGAGAGCCCTCAGTACCCAGAGATGGGATCTATGCTTATTAGGTGCCTCAGCTGACAGTATTAAGATGGGAATATATATAAGTATATAAGATGGGAAGAGTTCTTGCCATTGAAATGTGAAATCTGCAGTACTTAGAACTCTAGAAGGGGAGTTACACTTGGAATTCATAATTTCAAGAAATTCTGGTTGCTGAATGAGTAAATGAAATATGGAATTGAAAAATGTAACCAAGAATGGGCAGGTGAAATTTCACAGAAAACTTTGTACTGATCCATAAACACTCAAGGGCATTTGCCCTATGGTTGATATCACAAAGGTAACCCAGGCCAAGTTCTAGAAAAGGACCATTTATTCTTTCATTGCTCTCATTTCTGTGGGTGGTGTGTTCTCAGAGAGAGCCCAGACCCTTCCTGCAGAAAGCACCCCCACCACAAAACACAGCACTGTCCCTTTTCTCCTCCTGAACCCCTGAGCAATGTTGTGCTGAAGACAGCAGGCATCGTGTGTGCATTTTCTTTAATGTTTCTCCTGTGGGGATTTTTTGGGCACTGATCTTACCTGCAGCTGGCAAAAACCTATGGCAACATCTGCACCCTGTGGATGGGTCACAGACCTATGGTGGTGCTCTATGGGTTCCAAGCTGTGAAGAATGGTCTCACCAACAACTCGGAGGATGTTTCAGGGCGACTGCAGACCTACATTTTCAACAAAATGGCAGATGGAAAGGGTAAGATGTTCATGTTTGTGGAAGGACTTCACCCTTGACTTTCTTTGTTTCCTCCTGTGCTTTTCTTACTGAAAAACCCTTAGTTCCCCACTGACTTTTTCTGTCTGCTGAAGGTGAATCATATCATTGTGAAGCATCATCCCAAGTGGTCTCCAAATCCCACTGTCACACATACATTTCAGAATCTTATCAGAGCAGCATGGGCAACATTCTTGCTGTTGTCTGCGTGTCCTGATTTGAAATAATCCTGAGCCTGCAGCTTCCTTTGCAAGCTGAGACTAAAGTAAATCTTTATGCTCCCAGTTGTTTGTTTACAGCAAAGGCAGCTGTAAAGAAAGCATATACAGAACTTTGATCTGGTCTTGTTCCGAAGTACAAAGTCACAGGAAGGTCAGTGGAGCTTTAAATTTATTAGCTAGAGTGTTCAAAGCATTGTACTGTGCTATCACAAACATTGCTGAATCACAGTGGAGAGAGAATAAAGAGAGTGATATGTTTAAAACAGAAATAATTGAACTTGTTTCCATCAGCCTCTTATCCAGAGAATGTACAGAAGATGCCTTACCCTCAGTCAGGACTTGTTTAATGTGAACTGCAGTCCAGAAAGCTTTAATTTGTAATGCTCGCTAATGTAAGTAGAGAAAAATCACTTTAAGGTACAGAGATTGTTAAGTCTGGGGCCATTTCAGTCTCTTTGGAAGGATCTGTATTGCCACTTTTTATCGGGGTGCTGTGGAGAAAAGTAGCTGGGTTGTGACACATGCCCTAAAACTCATAATTTGTAGCAGGGATGGCTTTAACCAACAGCTGCAGCTCAGCTGCAAATTTGTGACTGCAGCACAAATACCACCTGCCTCTCCCTGGCTCCCAGGACAGCAGAAGGAATAAGGGACAGTTATCCCAGTCTCTGGTGAAGCAGCTGTCTCAGGGAGTGAGCTGGCTTTCCCAGGAGGAATTGCAGCCTAGACTTGTGGAGGGAATTTCCCCACCAAGCAGATTAAATGGTTTCTGCTGGGTGGTCTCTGCTAGAACACAGACTCAAGCAGAGCAGCCTGGGATTCCTTTCTGCCCCACAGGAACTCTTGATCTTAAGAAGCTGTTTGCAGATTGGCTAAAGCCTATTTTTTCTTCTCATTTTGTCTGGGTGGTTCTTGCCCTGGCTTCGTTGTCTTTCCAGAAGGGACCTTTCCAGGATGAGAACCTGGTATTTGGTATACAGATCCTGGTAGAACAGGATCCCTCAAAGACCAGAGGCAGACACGTCATGAAATAGGACTAGGTTTGGAAGGCAGGTGTGTGAGTCCAGAGGTCCAAGTGGGTTTTTTTTGCAGGGATGGTAATATCTTAACCAAGGCATTTTCTCAGCCTCTAACAACATTCAATTCAAAGAACACTGCCCTGATATGTCCCTCCTCTTTGAGCAACAGCGTGATGAGAAGACGACTCTTACTGTGTTTATCATCTACAATTGTATGAACGTTATTATGACGTAAAACTAATTCTTGATGCCTAAAGGTATCTTGGTCTCAAATGGTCTCATCTGGAAACAACAGAGACATTTTGGAATCGGAACTCTCCGGAAACTGGGAATGGGGAATAAAGGAATGGAGCGTGGGATACAAACCGAGGCCCGTTACCTGGTGGAGTTCTTCAGAGACAAGGAGGGTATGGCATTGACACAGTGCTTGGGAGCAGACACAATACAGACTGCTTGACTATAAGGGTAAAGACCACTTTTGGTACAGAATAGAATGGATTTGGAGCACACCTTAGATTTGCAGATTAAGGATAAGGTGCTAAAGAACTACAGACCACATATTCTGTGGTGTTTTCTAACAGACTGGAAAAATAAACATGAAGGAATACAGCAGGGAAATTCCCGAACCCAAAATAATGAAGTTTCTTTGCTTATTTATTGTTTGACAAAAAACCCTCAGAAGCCTTGAGATTTTTGTACAGTTGGACCTCAGCAGTTTGTATTTTGGGATCAACACCAAGATTGAGATTAAAAAAGAAAAAAAAGAAAGCAAAAATGAAAACAAATTAAAAAAAAAGGCCAGGAGTGGCTTCATGGCTTCATTTTTGAGTGAGGTTTAGCTTTTTTTACATTTCCTAGTGAATAGTGGGTGTTTCTGTGTATAAATAAACAGTATAGATATCATAGAGGACATCTATTACAAAATGTCACTGTAATCTTGTTCTCACAAATAGCAAAGGAGGAGAAGGAAGTGCTTTGGAGATGGATGTTTTTCTCTGTCTGCAGGAGAAGCTGTGGACCCTTCCTTCCCCATTGTCCATGCTGTCTCCAATGTGATTTGTGCTGTGGTTTTTGGACATCGTTTCTCTCTGGAGGATAAAACATTCCGCCAGCTGATTGAAGCCTTCAATCATATAGTGGCTTTTGGGAACAGCCACTTTTATTATGTGAGAATATTACTTATGAGATTATGTATCACTTATTAGAATATTACTAACATGCAACTTATTTGATCATTTGGCTCATTATTTATTGCAATATAATTATATCACTATGTATATTATTAAAGTATTGCATTATTGAATACTGATAAATATTCTCACTGTGAATATGAACTGGACCTGCAATGCTTTGGGTTTGACATGATTCAATTATGAATATTGTATTAATAATCTTTATTAGAATGTCTTAGCAAAGGTAATATGCTTGGGATAATGACCTTTTCTGCAATGGAAATACCAGTATTGTTAAGGTGAAAAGATGATACTCTGTGTGAGAATAAAGGAGAATGTTGGGTTCTTTTAGGTTTTTTTTTGGGGGGGGGGGGGGGGGGAAGTTTGTTTTTTTTTTCCCTGTGCTAAGGTGATGGACATAAATGTTTATTAACATTAGATTTATTAATATTGATACATCTAACTGTAAAAGTAGATTATTTTGTTGGTGAATTACAAAGGGCAAATACAAACGGAATTATACAGTAAGGATGGGAAAAGTCTAGGGTGGAAACTGTACTGTCCCTAATTTGTGATTTTAATGTGTGTTTATGTACTAAACATTTATTTTGATGCCACAGGAGTTTTCTCAGAGAAATTAATTCAGCAGTTTAGCACCAGAAATGCTCTATCTCTATCACAAGCCTTCTCTACAATGTCACTAACTGCCTCTGTGCTGAATTTTTGCTCCCCAGATGTGTGAAATGTTCCCGTGGTTTGCAGAGCACCTCCCAGGACCTCTACATAAAGCAAGATTTTCCCGGGATTTTGTTCGCTCCTTTGTGAGGCAGGAAATCAAAAGCCACAGGGAAAAAGGCAGAATAGATGAACCAGAAGATTTCATTGACTTTTACCTGAAGCAGATAGAGAAAGTGAGTGATTAATGCTGTGCATGACACAGATCCAGCCATAATGGGTTCTCTGCCCCTTCCCTGCTGTTGTCTGTCCACAACAACATAACATTACTGCAGAGCTCTGCAAGCACAGCTTAAAAACTCTGCTGCCAAACTCTAAATATGAACTTGGAATAGTTAGCTCAATAACTTGTTCTAGAAGTACAAATTACTTACATTGGTTTGTTATATTTTGGAATCCTTAGTGAGGGCTGGGCAGTAGGGAGGACCTTGAAAAGGTGCAGGTATTTAGATGGCTGCTGAATTCTCATTCTTGCCTTGTATTATTTTTGTGCTTAGTAGTGCTGTATGAGTATCATGACAATCTTAAATTGTTGTCAGTCTCTGCTCTGAAAAAAAGCATAAATCTTTAAAAGGATAACATTATATATTAGATAAATTGCTGAAATCAGCAAATGTGCTGAAAGTGGCATGGGTGGGATAAAACTACCTAGAAATGTGTTTTTCTGCTGTGGAAGTTAACAGAAGTCAACATGCCACTTTACAAGGTAGCATAACAGGACTTATACACCTGACACATTCAACAGCACCTGTAATTTAACAATACCACTGTTCTCATTTGAGTAAAGTCTTCTATCTGTGTTCTGCTCAAGAATCTGTATTTTCTTTGTCCTCTAAAAATCTTGTTCCTTTAGATACAGTGGTCACTGTCTGTTTCAGTGCTCTTACACAGCTATACTCCATTTTACCTTTCTCACTGACACTTTTAGACTAAAAATGTCCCCAATTCTACATTTGATGAAGACAACATGGTGCAGTCTGTTTTTGACCTTTTCCTGGGTGGCTCAGAGACCACAGCCACCACTCTACGCTGGGCTCTGCTCTATATGTTGGTTTACCCTGACATCCAAGGTGAGTAGCACACACAAACATGGATATGATTCAAGTAGAGCAATTTTTTGGTTTGTTTTTTTTTTTTTTTTTTTTTTTTTTTTTTTTTTTTTTTTTTTTTGCTAAGATCAAGGTTTTTTAAGATCAAACTTACTTGAAAGATATTTTTTGAGTTTTGCTTTTAATAAGCCAATGTAGTAAAAATTTTTCAGACAGAGATTTCAAAATAATTTCAGGGATCTTTAGCTTCTGATACTGTATTGGGTTCTGTTGATTTTTTGTCAGACTGTTTCAGCACTGTAAGCATATAATGGAAGATACAGTCTGAAAACACACAAGGTGAAATAAGAGTTTGGGTTAGGGCAAAGTGATGCTTTTCTGGCATCCAGAATGTGTAATAAGGTTATATTATTTAAGTTAATTAACTGAGACATCAGTCAAATTTCTGTAAAATAGATATATTTATTCTAATGCATGGGAATGTTAAACAGACAAGGAAGACAATAATGGGAAGACAAAAAGATGATCCAGAAATTCTGGACAAGAGCACAGTTGTGCACTAGTTTCAGAATTTTTGGTTGATTTGGTAGAGGGTTTTCAGAGGTGATGAATTACTATGCCAAGTACATGTTCTTGACTCTCAGGCTGAGGGCTAGAAATTCTTTTCATGCTAGAAGAACAGAGCCCTGTGCACACACCTGCACTTCAAATTCTGATAAATTATAAAGAAAAAAATTCCTCATAGCTTACTAGCCTAAGTTTTAAGTATGACATCTGACCCCAAACCATCTGAGACTGTATAAGGTGTGCTAGTTAGTAAAGCTTAGATAGCAGCCCATAGAGATTAATACTTGATGATGGTTTAATATTATCCTGTTTCAGTTCTCAGCATTACATGTGTCAGCTTGATGTGATGGCTTGCTTGCAACACCCTCATTAGTGTACTGTGAGTCTGTATTTACCTAGAGTAAAATCAACAGCTTAATTGAATTGATGTCTTAATAACTGTTATACTTAGTTTTCTCCCCCTCCTTTAAATATAATGTTCCATAAATCTGCTGGGCTTGTGGAAAGAGGGTCTGAACATAAAAACCTATGAGTGCAGTAAAATCACAACTAGCTGGTTATGATTTATAGAAATCATACATTTATACAAATGCATTTGTATAAATGTATGATTGCACTAATATATACATTTATGTTAATATAAATGCATTACATAGATACATTTATACAAATGTATTTACACTTTAGGATATGGTGAGCATAAATTATTTATATATTGTATTTTTTTCTATCACTACTATACTCCAAAAAGGAAAGAAAAGCTGTTTCATCCAAAACAGTGTTCTTACATCTATAATGGATATTTGAATATTTTTTAGACAAAGTCCAGAAGGAGCTGGATGCTGTTCTGAGTCCCTCCCATCCCATCTGCTATGAGGATCGGAAGAAGCTGCCGTACACAAATGCTGTGGTTCATGAGATCCTCCGCTTCAGCAGCATTGTTTTAATCACACTTCCCAGAGAAGCTGTGAAGGATACCACTGTTTTGGGGTATCGTGTTCCAAAGGTACAGATATCCCTTCTATTCCAGTGGGATCTTTGGCCACAAGTAAAGGTTTGCCATTAAACCCTTTCCCCTCCAGCTCAGGACAAGAAGATCATTTTGCTAGATTTAGGATATGGTACTAAAGACCTGCAGACCACACATTCTGTGGCATTTGCTAACAGACAAACAGGAAAAAAAGACATGGAATACAGCAGGGAACTCTCTGAACCCAAAACACTGAAGTTTCTTTTCTTCCTTTTTTTTTTTTTTTTTTGACAAAAACCCCCTCAGAACCCTTGAGATTATTGTTTTTCCCATAATTATGTAATCTTTAATTTCTGCTGCCTTTCTGTGTGCAGAATTATAGCTGGAATCTGTGTCCTTTTATTCTTGATGTGTGAGAGACAGAACTGTGCCAGCTGCCTCTTCCTTTCAGGGCACTCTAATCATGGCAAATGTAGACTCAGCTCTTTTTGACCCTGACTATTGGGAGACACCTCACCAGTTCAACCCCGGCCATTTCTTGGACAAGGGTGGAAATTTTGTGACCCGAGAGGCCTTTTTGGCCTTCTCAGCAGGTGAGTGCACTGAGAACTGAGCCCAGGCGTGTGGGTTAGATGAAACTGTGTTATTTTCATTGTCGAGAAGGCCCAAGAGGAGTGTAACCCCAAACTGCAGGAGCACATGTTTTTTCCAGCCCAGAAAAATGTTTGACTGCAAAAATAAGTTGTTTGGCAATTGTATAAACACTTGATCTTAGATTTTTTGTGAAAATGCAGAGAAGGTCCCAGAGTAATGAGTAAGGTCCCAGAATTCCCAATCACTTAGGAACTTGAGTCCTAACCCTGTTGCCCTTGGTCCTCCTCTGTATTTGCTGGGTTATGCCATTACAGTGGATATTGTGTGGCAGGCTGCTGTGCTGGAGCTGATTTATTTTGTGTAAATAATTCAATATTCATTAGTGCAGAGAGATGAATGGGAGATCCAGAAGCTGGATCAAATACACCCAGAAGTCTATGTCTTTCCTGTGGGGTTTCTGGGATCACTCTTTCACCAGTGTGTGAGTTTACAGAAGTTTAAACAAACAAAACCTCTTGACGGGTCATGCCAGGAGGGAATAGCCTGGTTGTCAGAGCTGTTAGCTGAGCTGTGAAAATGTCAGGCTCAAGTTTCTGGTCTAAATTGAGCAGAAGAGGAATTGATTTCTCACGTCCAAATTGAATTGCCTGACCACTGCCATTTCAGAGTTTGTCACTGTCTGTTTCTGGGAATTATATCCTGGACAGAGTTAATTGATAAATTGGGAAGAGATTTTTCTTTAGCAAGTTGTTTTCACTGAAACCATTATGTAGGAAAATGTTTCATCAGGTGTAGAATGTCCTCTGTCTTCTGATTTTTCGCTGTTATTAGGGAAGATAAGTCAGTTTGTAGTAAGCAGAAGCCGTGAGGGAACCTAAAGGTTTCTTTTTTTTATTTGCAATCAAAAGACTGAAATCCCTTTCATAAAACTAGGGAGTCCTATAGATTAGGAAGCAAGAATGAAACTTCTGAGAAGCATCTCTGGTATCTTTTCTATCTAATCTGGGGAGATCCTGCAATGATGAATTGCAGACATCTCAGTTGTATGTCCAGTTCAATCTGAAAGGAAATTCAGCAAAGCTCTTTGTTCCTTAGTGAGCAATGCTCCTGTGAAAACTGGAAAACAGGTGCTGGTTACAGACCTTGGTGGGGACTGACTTCTCTTTCCATTCACCCCTTACAGGTCACCGTGTTTGTCTGGGAGAGGCATTGGCCAAGATGGAGCTTTTCATCATGTTCTGCAGCCTGCTGCAGAAATTCAAGTTCACTGTACCAGAAGGAGTTAAGGAAATCAACACAGACATTATCTTTGGGAGCACCATGAAACCCCATCCATACAAGCTCTGTGCAGTTCTGCGCTAGGTTGCTCAGCATTAGAGATTTGAGGCACAGACACAGGTTTGGTAGTGTGCTAGGATTTGTGCAGCTTTATGGTTCTCATTTTTAGCTCAAATTCAGTGAAAATCTCTCCTTGTTGTTTTATGTCTTAGAAGCTAGCCCTGAAAAATACTCTGGTTTTCCTGTGTCTGGAAAGTGTCTGTACCTTTTTTTTTTCTGCTATATTACAAATGAAATAAATGTAGACAATTATTGCACTGTGTAGTCTTGGCAGAATCTTACTGGAGGGAGGAGGAGCATCAGAGCCAGACTCTGAGCAGTCTTCCCCTACATTCTCAAATCCAGAATGGTGTGCTGGGAATGCTGCTCCCAGAGGTGATGGCTCTGGGCATTGCCAGAGCTCCCAGGTATGGTTGCATGGGAACTCAAAGCTGTGGAGGGGCATCTCAGTTTGCTGGGAGCAGCTTTGTCTATTTAGCAAAGAACCACAGGCAGATGAGTGCTTGAGACTGGAAGTAACAGAGACAGCAGTGCAACTCTTCATTTGGCTGTGAGGCATGTGACTCAGGCCAAGAGCAAAGGCAAACCCCCCCTATTGCCTGCTGGAGAAGCCCCACTGCTGGTGAAATGCAAGTGGAATAAGGATAAGGACCAGTGGGCTGGCCTGGAAGTTTTTTTTTTTGACATCTTGTGGTGCATTTGAGAGGCATTTCTATGAAGGCAGAGTCATCGCACATGCCAGGGTTTGTAATGACAATGATGTACAGCAGATTAGGTTGGCTGTGTCTCTTCACTGATGCCCAAAGCACAGCTCAGGGGGCAGCTGGCAGTCTTTGCAGCCTTGTGCAGCAACGCTTGGTGTCTGCAAAGGAGGGGCAGGGCAGGAGACATTGATGTGGTGTTCTGCAAAAGCTGCAGGAGAATCAAAGCTCTTGAGAGTTTTCTGTGAGCACAGGGGCAGCTGCACACAAGCAGCCTTCTGACAGCTGAGCTGAGCCTGCTGAGTCCAAATGCACACTGAAGGAAGGGCTGTGCAAGGTGCAGCTGGCAGGGGCAGTGCCCAAGCAGGGCTAGTGGATGGCAAGCACCAGAAGCCACTCTCACTGTGAGACTGGCCTTGTTACCCACACAATAAGATTTAAAACTCAAGGTCAGAGTGAGGGTTACTGTTGCTCTACCAGCTTTCTTCTTTGAAGAAAAGACTTTACAATTGTTATCACAAGCATGCTTCAAGGACTAGTTGGCATTGCTCTGTTTGTCCATTGTGTCACGGGCTGAAAGAAAGGGGGAGAAGAGAACGGGCCAGCAGCTCTCCTGGCAAGAGTGAGAGGAGGAGGATTCACTTGTTACAGGGATACTTTTCTGTTCTTCTGAGCTGTCAGACAGCTCTAACCCCTGCTTCCCCAGGCATTCAATTCTCCTCATGGAAGCTGTGGCAAATACAGCTTACAAAACCTTATCAGTTTTCTCTCTTGCCAGTCCTCCAGCACCATCTTGTATGAGGAGAAAAGAAATTTGTATTCCCTTGACATATCTCCCAAAGATTTAGCAAAGCTGTTTGGCAGCTGCCTTCCTACAGGCAGGCAGTTCATGTCTAGGCTGAGAGGTGCAATCACCAGAATGTGGCTAATGTGTGTGGAAAAGTCAGAGTGAGCCTGGAGAGCCTGGGAAGATGCAGAGTAGCCAGCCAGGACTGTGCAGGGGCCAGATGGGGCTGCAAGTGAGCAGGGCAGGGAAGCCTTGGGGCTGTGAGTCTCCTCCCAGGAACACTTTGGAAAATACTAAACTCAGAGTTGGGAGCAGTTTGAGATAGAGAAAATGTAACACCAGTGGAGGAATTAAAAGTCACAAAAATGGTCTCAAAATGGGTAATTCAGTTTTTCAGGTTGATCCTAGCTCTCAGTTCGATCAGTGGCCAGCAAGATGGGTAAATGTTATTCTTCTGCCCTGTTTCTGGAGTAAACCAATGTCATTCACACCTCACAACTTTTATTTCCAGCTGTGCCAGTTCTGTAAGTTTGGTATATGAGCAGCAAGGCCAATCTAGGTCACTTCCCAGAGTGCCACATGCTGCTGCCTAAGTCAGAGCCAAGTCTAAGCTAATGCTGTTCCTGTACAAGTGCCAACTCTCTGTTGATCATGTTCAAATGCCAACCTTTGCAGAGCTGGAGTTGCTCAATTGCATGACAGCACTTGTGAAAGAAGTTCTCAGAGGCAGATCTGTCTCATCTTTGTTCCTGCTGCAGGCAATCCAGGGGGATTAGCCACAGGCAGGTGGAGGAGTGAAGAAATTTTGCTTTGTGCTTGGTCAAGGAGACTGCAACCCCGCTTACCTGTGCAGCTGGGCAGGGAGTGGGAGGACACTTGGTGTTATCTCATATTGCCAACAAACTCCTGTTACCCAATGATCAGCTGGAGTCTTTTATGGTCTCTGTGTGCTCTAAGCAAAAAATTAAAAGGTAGAGCCATCCCCCAAACACCTTTCAATATAAACTGTGAGGAAAAACATTAAAGGATTAGCAGAGAATGTCAGAATCAACAGTATGGGGTGAGCTAAGTAGCAGAGCACATGGTTGGTGCATGTGATGGCTATTGATGAGCCTGAACTTTTCAATAATCCCACTGCCCTTGGGTGTGCAGCCAACCCTCAGGAAACCTTTTTTATTTCTCATTCTTGGAAGAGTTTTTTTTATGAAACCAGGACTGTGGGCAGAGATTTTTGTCACAGCAGCAGTCATGGCACAAGGAGGTGTATAATTAACCTACATTTTGTGTCCCTTGAAGAGGCGGTAATTGACAGATGTGTAGCTGCAACATAATGATGTTATATATGCTTAAAAATAAGAACGCTTAATTCTCTGGGATGGGGAAGTAAAAGTGATAAAGAGGGAAAGAGATGAGTCACAGGAGCGTCAAGTGTTTTTTCTTTTATCAGGGAGGTACCCCAAAAGCAAGATAAACTGATCTCTCCTCTGCCTACACAGCAGATATAGAGAGACAACGTAGCTGTGTAAATCAGAATTAAAATGCTAACAGTGACTGAGGTGCTGGTATTTTTAGTGGTGTCTCTGCCGTTGATGCAGTTTCTAAAACTGCAATGGATGCGAAGACAATTTCCTCCTGGGCCAACTCCATATCCCTTCTTTGGAAATCTGCTGCAGATGAACTTCAAAATTCATCATGAGCACCTTAAAAAAGTATGTATTTTCTGGCAATGTATTAATGGACTGATAAGCTGATTGGAAAGTAAATATGTTTAACATGGCTTTATTTTGTATGCTAGGGAGGGATTTGTTCTAAATTGTATAAACGTGGAAATAGGTGGAGGTAATTAAAATATCTGTTTCTTTGTGTGAAAATTTGCACTTACTATGAAATATATATTTAATACCTTATGAACAAAAACCATAATAATGATAATAGTCTTGTCTTACATACAGGAAGAAGCTGTATTTTAAAGTAAACTCACTAATTGTGTGCAGTCTTTTGGATGTCTGTGTTTTGACTGTTGTTGCACTGGCATTTTCTAAGTATCCCATGAAATAGCTACTGAGTGTGTATTCCCAGTATAGAAAGGATGTTTTTTAATATTTATTAAATGGATTTTTGGAAAGATTTTAGAATAAATTTTTTTCTGACATACCATTTGGTCAGATTTTCACAAAAGATTTCAGTCTGCTTAGCAAGACTGAGCTTTTAAATGGATAAATAATTCATAGTATGCTCAAACTTTTTCTATGTCCAGTTGTAATATGCAGGACTTCTAAAGTTTGTATCCTGTTGTTTTATAGTTCTTATACAGCTATTCTAAATATTTAACATTTAAATATGTAAGTAATAACAGCTCAGTCTTCCTCTTCTTTCTCAACCTTCCCTTTCCCTGTTTTGTCCATGTCCTGCCAGTTCTGTCCTCCTGAGCTGCATATTTCAAGGCAAAGTGTTATTATTCCCTAACATAAAATAGCAGCTAGTGCCTGTCTGCTGTGTTTTTCTTCTGTTTCTGACATCCCAGACGGGAAGAGTAGTACTGGCCACTCCAAGGTTTCAAAAGCCATGAACAGGTCCTTGCAAAAATGAAATTAAACACAAACGTGCGAGTACAAGCACAAACATTTTTGCTCACTGTGCATAAGCATTCCCTCTTGTTTGCTCCCAGGCAGCAGAATTTTGTTATCCTCTGGTCCTGCATTTCTTTGGATGTCTTGGAAACACACCACTCTTTCCAGCCTATTTTGCTACTTTTCCTGATTCAGCAGCCAGGGGAAGGATTGTCCTGCCCACTGCCAGGGATGCCTGTGTGCACAGCAGCTGAAGACAAGGCTGACACAGCTGAGCTGGAAAGGACAGGGTGATTCCTGCATTACTCAGCTCCTCAACTGTTTTTGCTACACTTGACACACAAAGGGGCATCTGTAGATGGTTCACATAAAATTCATGAGCTACTGCTGTCTTGTAGTAAGTGGTGAGGATGGAAGAGTTCATCTACAATGAGTTTGAATTGTAAGACATAATAAATGACATCATGGACTTTGGCAATATTGGCTGACATTTTAGAAATAGAAACATCATGATCTTTAATAAATGAGACTTTAGATAGAAACCTGATTTCAAACTATATTGTATGTAAGAACATACCTGATGCTCTGTTCTCAAAGTCACTCTTAGGGCATCTGCCCAGGGAGAACGTCTGGCTCATCTTGTTTGATTTAAAAGTACCAGTTCTCACTCCTGTTACTCTGATTCTACCTTGTTCTACAGATGGCCAAAATTCATGGCAATATCTTCACCTTATGGCTTTCAAACACCCCTGCAGTTGTCCTGCAAGGGTTTCAGGCAGTGAAGGAAGGTCTGACTACCCGTGCTGAAGACGTTGCTGGAAGACCTGAAAGTAAAATCTTTCACATTATGACACGTGGAAATGGTAATTTTTATTCTCAGGAATTATTTTAATGTGTTCTATCCCTAGTTTTGAATACTAATTTAGAGCCTCAAAGTCCTTAATTTACATCAGGAAAAAAAGTTTCTATTTTCACAAGTTTTTAAAAAGAGTTCTATTCTATATTCTGTCAGAACAATAATGACAGCATAGACTTAATGTAAGAGCTTCTATACAGAAGATAAATGGCTAAAATATGAAAAGAAAGAA